ACGGCCCGTTCCGGGCTAAAAAATTTAGGTATTTTGGTAGTTCCAGAACGGCCGTTCTGGTCTAAAAACTGTAGGTCTTTTTTAAAAATTGGAACAACCCGTTCCAGTTTGGGAACGACCCGTTCCAGTTGTGGGAACGGACCGTTCTGGGCCAAAAATTAGAGGTATTTTGGAAGGTTGAAACGGCCCGTTCCAGTTTGGGAACGACCCGTTCCAGTTGTGGGAACGGACCGTTCTGGGCCAAAAATTAGAGGTATTTTGGAAGGTTGAAACGGGCCCCTCCATCTCATCCAAAAAGAGGTAAAATTGAGACTTAACAATACCCAACACTAATTAAATCATTCAAAACTAAATTTCAGTTAGTAATTTAAAATAAATATTCACTTGTTTACTGCCATATCAAAGAATTGATTGTAAAGCAAAAATAAAAATCAAAGAATTGATTCTGGTTAAGAAATTAAAAATATTTTTTTACGGAGAAGTGAAATAATATATGCTTTTGTGATTTATCACGTAACTTTCTAATAACTTTTTTTCTTGTTCTTTTTGATCCGTAGTCCCATAACATTTTTACTTGTACCCTATGTTTTAAAAGACGGTGATTTAATTTATTTGTTGGAAATTTTGCGTCTGCAACATGATTCTAAAAGGGGTGGCATCAGTTATATTTGTTTTGTGATTTTTTTAACAATACGAAGGATTATAATGTAAGAGCAACTAAGAGTGCGAACGTTACTTCTAGCCTTCTAGCGTGGGTCTTGCTTGAATGCTTGATTGTTTGTCATGGTGCTCAATGCGTGGGGGTGCCTATATATATGCCTCTGTTTTTAAAAGAGATAGATACATGGCAGTTGTGAGTATCATATATAGATTTTTTTTTGGACATAATTAAGTACCATGCATATATAGCTATTAAGTATAGCAAACAACTCTTTGTGTTAGGTTAGGAAGTATCATGTTATTTTGAGCTCCACTATCTATCCCCAAAACGTTATAATATTTAAATTAGGCACGTTACGTATTACTAGCTAGAATATTATATTAATGTCATCCAGCTAGAATATGCAACATGTAAGATGCAACGTCTCTAAAGAAAATTCAGTAAATATATACAGATTTCCATTTTTTTAATAACATATTGATTACGAAGGGATTCATTTTTATTAGAAATTTTGAATACACAAAATAGGTTTCTTTTTTTAATATAATTTATTTTATATCTAAAATTAAAATTCAAACTTTAAACATCTTAATCAAGATCGTTGTTATTTATATCAATCAATATTAATAAATATATAATATATATAAATTTAAGTTGAATAGTTGTTGTGTTAAAAATAGTGAATAGTTATTATTATTATTATAAATTTTATAATATTTAATAAAAATCTAAAAATAATACAAAATTTTATACATATAAATATTATATAAGATATTGTCACTATTACTATGATTGTTATCATTAATATCGTAATAAATAATATTATTTTAAATATTGTTACTTGAATTGTTATTATCAAGATTAACATTATTATTATATTATTAACATTATTATTATTAATATTATCATTATCATACTAATACCTTATTAAACTAGTTTTAATAGAATATATTTTTAAGCGAGTTTATTTATATAAAAAAAAAATAGAAAGAAAATTAAAAGTAGAAGCTTTTGTAGTATTAAAAATTTTGAAACTAAAAACCACCCCAAAACAAGCCCTAAAATTATTTTTATACTCCTTTCATTTGTTTTCATATGTCCACTATTGATCCGGTGAATGTCTTATAGTAGAGACATAAACCTGATGTTAAATTGTTAATTATGGGTTGAAAGGCATGATAAAGATTGGTGTAACGAAATTAAACGGAATAATTAATTAAGATGAATCGTGCCTTATGATTAGTGTTTGATTAAAAAGAAGGGAGAAGTGCGTGTACGTGGTCCTTTTCTGCCTTCACACCTTGCTTTGTCTTTTGTTCTTTTTGTAAATTCAAACATTGTCTAACATCCTCACCAATCATAAAACGTGGTCTCACATGTCAATTTAAGAGTAAGGGGAAAGAAAATAGCGACGAGACAGAAGCAAGTTGCATTTGCACTATAAGATATGTGCAAGTTGTTGTAAATTGTCTCCAAAGTCATTTCCTTTCGTTTTGTCGATTGTCATGACTCATGAGGCCCACAAAGATCTGACAAGTTTGGCTCTATGGAATTTCATCTCCGTTTCTTAACTTCAACCCACTGGCAGGCAGTTTCTGATACGTAAACTCAATGTTTTGGCATCAATAGGGAACAAAAACACTTTTTTAACTTGCCATTAATCACAAGTGAGAATCAAATTAAAAAACATATACTACTAAGTGGGAAATAAATTATTAGATTACTGGTACTGGTACTTTCGTCCCGATGCAAAGTCATCACACTAGAACTTATTAGCTGCCCTAATTACCTGCTACTGCTCTTGGGGTAAGTTTTATGCAAGGGATATATATTAAAAGGCTAAGAATTTAACTTTTTATGGAAGATTAAAAGTCAAGTATTTAATTATCCACCGATCATATAATATCAATTATATTATCATTCACTCACAACTCACAAACTTCTTTTTATACAGTTAGATTTTTATAATAATTATTTTGAATTTCAACAATAAATTTTAATTTGTTCACAATATTAAATTCTTTATATTGAAAGTATATAGAGAGAAAAATCTTAATTAAAATGTAATAGAGTAACAATTTTTTAATATAAATTGTTATATATAATAATTATTTTTAACTAATTAGAATCGAATTAATGACGCAGGAGGATTTAAATAGTTTGTATTAAGTCTAGATTAATCAAACATATTGTTGCTATTGTACACCAAAATTAATATAATAAGACTTTATTTTTATAATAATTACATAAAATTCATATTTAAAATTATATATAATTATTTAATTATTTAAAAGATGAGTAAATTTCATACTAAATATATTTAAATATTAATTAGTTTAAAGTTTTAGGATAAACCTAGGATAATATTTTAAGGAAAAAACGAAACCTATTTTGTTATATGTTTAATATAATTAAATATTGATAAAAGGAACAGTTTAAACTTAATTTGTTGTTATTCATTTTTTATGGCGATATCAAATATTTCTTGATATGAAACTAACGTTGTCTAGACAAGGGTCCAACAAGCCATGTTACAGGAGGCATAATTACCTTTCTCTAAATACAGAAGAAGAAAAAAAATTGAGAGCAGGCAATTAATCACTCCTTAAAAAAAATAATAATAAATCCCAATGTGCGAGTGTGTGTAATACTTAGGGTTCATGAGGAAAAAGAGACAACCACACACATATTTAGATTTTTTTTTTTTTGAACTTGAACAACTTCTAGGCGATTTTATACGCTTTCCACACTAAAATAGATATTATAAACACAAAAAATATATGGTTGATGAACCTATTAAGGATAGCTAATTATATATATCTTAAAGGATTTGCTAACTTATATTTAAATAATTTTATTTGGAATAAGTTAGCAAACTATATTATAAGTTCATTTAAGAAATTTGTAATTATAGCTTATTATGTTATACTATGAGCATATTTTAAAATAATCTTAATTATAATTTTTTAATTTATTCTAACTAAAAAAAATAAGTTCGTGTAAATTATTGATATATATATATATAACTTGATATACTAATCTCCATATCTATAACATGATTTAGAAAGAAAAAGAAATGGTATGTCGGGTTGATGCTCGTGGATTATTAGTACCCTATTTTAAATGTGTGATATATACATATGGTGAAGCGGTATAGCAGAGACGAATTAGCCGAAAACTAAAAATCCACGAGACCAAACAATTGACAATAACCGATGTAAAGGAAAGACTGGAGAAAGTTAATTGATAGGCAATGCGATGTTATGATCCGGATAGGGATAGGGGTAGGGAGTGGAGTCGTGGAGGGTAGTTCTTATATTAATAGAAAAATGATGGGTGGTGAATATGGAGATTAGTAAAATGAAGTTGGAGTGTGATTAATTATTTGAGAAACAATGAATGTGGACCAATAGTGTCTTGGCGGCATCAGACACCATGTCAGAACAGATTAGAAATAGTGCATCACTTTTGCCGCTGCTAAACTCACTGCACATTCTTACATGTGTCCATTTTCCCTTTAACTATTCTTCTCTTCATGATGCTCCTTTCTACTCTCCAATTGTCTTCTAACCATTTACTTAATGTAAATTCACGTCCACAAAACCCAAAGTGATTGGGGACACAATTCTTTCTCATTAGACGACAAATAGGGGAGAAGTGGTATTCCGACAGCAAACATTGGTGGAGCCACTTACCCTCATTTTCATGTACAAATAGGAATCTCACGTTAAAATAAACTCCGTTACGCCTACCTCTCTCTCTCTGGGGAATTTTAGAGCCCTTTCTTTGTAATGATTGAGAAAGATGAATACTATTTTGATATTTGACCAAGGAGTTAAACACAAATATTATTGATGACAGTCTCTGAATTAGAAAGTGTCCTGAATATTGGAATGATTGAAGGTAGATTAAAAAAAGGGAAGGCAGGAGTGTGAATGTGAAAAAAAGGGAAGGGCAGAGTTGGTATTTGGAATGTATTTAAGGGAGAAGGTTATGGGTTATGGGTTATGGGTTATGGGGGTGAGAGAATTAATTAAGATGGGATTTCCAGTGGGGTACACAGAGCTAGTGTTGCCCAAGGTGTTAGTGCAGGCGCTATCCGTGTTGGGCTTCATGAGGAAGCTCATAACCCTCCTCTTCTGCTACATGGGCCTCCTGCAGGCCGACATTGCGTGGCCCCAGTACCAGTATCAATCCATTCTGCCGGTGCTCAAGTTCTCGGAGGCGGAGGCGGAGGAGAGTTGCGCGGTCTGCTTGTTCGACTTCCAGGGAGAGGAGGAGATCAGACGGCTGCCCAACTGCCGGCACATATTCCACAGAGGCTGTCTGGACCGTTGGATGGGATACCATCAAAGAACGTGCCCCCTCTGCCGGACACCCTTCATACCCCACCCTATGGCTATGGCTATGCAACCTCCTTCACATTTCTATCATTAAGCCCATGCCCAATGCCCATCCTCTTCTTCACCAATCTCTATGTGTAAATAACTATATATTATACAACCCATTTCGGATCTCTTTTTCCTTTCCCATTTATTATTTATTATTCATATACTAATGTCTAATACTAATACTAACAACGTTCAACACCTACGTCTTTTCATTTTCATTTTACGCCAATTTCACTCCCTCTGTGACTGTGTTGCTGATATCACAACTCTACCGCTACCGCTACTTGTACCTTATTCCTTTTTCACTTTTATCTCCATGCAACTCCACGTCTTGTAATTCCAACCAATAATAGTAACATGGTTTAATGCAATGATAAAAGCCTACTTTTATAATTAACATGCATTTACAATTCAATAAACTAAACAACTTAACGTTTTAGATTTCAATTTCATAATATAACATATTTCAAATATTTTTTACCGATTCAAATGCACAAACTATGATGAATATTTATACAAACAAAAGAATTTTGTATAATTTTTCGCTCAAAAAATTACCTATAAATAAAATACTTCATCATGCTATCATCCTCTTCCGGGAGTCTTATTATGAGACTTTTGGGCTTTGTTTGAAACAGGGAAGGAATATGTGAAAATTGATTTAATAAGAAATAAAATAAAATACAACAAAATTAAATAAGGAATAGAATAAAAATATTTTTTTTATTAGTTTATATCAAATTAAATGAAAAACTAAATTAATAAATTTTAACATATTGAATATTTTTATACAAAACTTTACACACGTGACATATTTTTTTTCTGCAACTTCCATACACTTCCCCTTACATGAGAAAGAAAGTTTATTTTGTTAGATCTCATTTTAATTATATTAAAAATTTCTTTTTAAATCCTCTTTATTTGTTGACTTTAACATAAATCACCTCAAAAGGTCACATTTATCCATATATATACTTGAGTGTATAAATTTTTTTTACTGTTATATATAATATATAATTTTTTTAATTATATCTCCTTGCCTATGTCCGCATTAAAAATAACAAAAGAAGGAATGCTAGTTAGTGTCTCTAAGACATGTTAAGGAAATACTAGAAAAAACAAAAAAATTATTAATACTTAAAATTTTAATTAATTTCAAAATTAATAGAATATATTAATTATGTATTTACTAAGAAGTATCTATTCAAAGTCTTCAATTTAAAGTCCTCGATTTTCGATCTTTAAGATTGCAAACGGTAGATGTATTTAAAAAAAGACTTTGATGCTTAAGTTAACAGGTGCTCAAAGTATTTAGGCATTTTCTAGAGTAAAAACTTATCTTATGAAGGTGAAATATAGATATTTATAAATAAGAAAATATAGTTATTCAAGTACATTTAAGATTTTTTATTGTTATGTAACATTTGGACATTACTTTCTACAAGATTTGATCATAGAAAAATATATCTCTGGTAGGGTTGAGAACTTTTCGACTTAAAAAAATATTATATTTGATCTAAATTAATACTATCGAATTTGATATAAGACCAAAAATTGATTGATTTTTTATATGGAAATTCAGGACTTATATAGTACAAATTGTAATAATAATTTTGAATATATTACAATAAGATTAAAAAAAAGTAAAATTATCTTTAAAAAAAAAAGACAAAGAAAAAGATGTCCTACAAAGACAAAAAGCTTAACAATACATGAATGGTCAAAGACACTAATCACCTTCAAGGCGAGCCAGCACGGTTTGGTTGTCTTAGCATACTATATGCCAATTTGTAAGAAATTTCATGCCTTCTTTGTATCACATGTAGGGAATCAAACGAGACAGTGTATTCTTTACTTGAATTCTCTGTCCCACCCAGATCAAATCTGGATTCAAGAGATGTTTTGTATTTCATCACTTATTCTTACTCAGAAACTTTACTCTTCCATTTGATATATCCGGTTTAAAATTTGATGTAAAAGAAATACAATTGAACTCGTTAATTTAACTTGATCCAACCAAAAAATAAAATAAAATATTAAGCTACTTTAGTATATTTTGACTAACTTATAAATTGGTAAATAATCTCATTCAACTTTCCAGAGTTGTGAGGTTGATTGAATTTGTTAAAATTGGTCTAAAAAATTTGGTAAAATTGCAGCTGATTCCAACTGAATTAATTATTCAGTTCAAATTTTCTTCTCAAATCCAATCAATTTCAACTTATAATTACCACCTATCAAATTCCTGCACAATTCCATAAGCATTAGTCGACTCTAGAGGGTGTTTTTATTTTTATTTTTATTTTTATTTTTATTTTTATTATTATTATTTTTTAAAAAAAATATTATTGTGTTAACAATCTAAATGGTCAGTTTGTACCAGGATTCCATACATGTCATTATATCTCACATGGCACACAAGTAAAATTAAATAACTTAAATATATTTTTATTCTCTCAAATTTGAAGTAAATTTATTTTTAATCCTTTAAATTTTAAATTAATCTTTTTAATTTTTATAATTTCAAAAAATTTTATTTTAATTTTTATACTCAAATTTTGTTAAAAAAATCTGTCAAATATTGTTGTATAAAATTTACTTACTGGTATTTCTGTTAATAAAAATATTACATTAAATTCACATATGTTATTGATGATGTGAGATACTAAAATAAAATATTTAAAAATTATAAAAATTAAAAATAACAGTTTTAAATTTAAGAGACTAAAAACGAATTCAACTTAAATTTAAGGGACTAAAAATATATTTAATTGAATAATTGAATAACTAATAAAATATGATGAGTTTTGTACTCTCTCCAATTGAAATCGGATTAGAATCTTTAAGTTTGCGTCTTCTCACACTTTCTGCTTAAAGTTGATGGGCATGTGTACCTTCAAAGATTGAAATCTCATTTTGTTAGTACAAGGGTTTAAAATTGACTAAGATAGGTTGATTTATGAGCCTCGTTGTACTTATCTGTTCGTGTGGTTCGGAGACTGTGTATTATCTAGTCTTAAAACAAAGTGATATAGGTTGATTAAAGCACTTGATTGGTTTGTTTGGTTAGAATTCGACCCACTTAACAAACGATCTATTGAGATCGTCTATATACAAATAGTTAGGTCAGTGACTAACAATTTATTTTGAATGTATTTCTGATCAATATGAAATTTATAACATTGATCCTTGTGATAAAGACTAAATATTTAAAGTATAAAATTTACATAATTAACTTTTTACGATCTATAATTATTAGAATAGTTTCTAATATTATTTTAAAATGTGAAATTTAAGTTTGACTCAATCTTATACGACTGATTTATAATTTGATAATTACTTTCACTTATATATTTTATTTTAATTATCTTCCTAATATATGTGAGACCTTTGACACCTAATATTTGAAATTAAGAACTTGGTCTTTGAGGAGTTATGTTGTAGTTTATATAATGATTTTTGGGTATCTTGAATACCGTTAATTTATTTTCACTTTTATTCTATTAAACACGGTGTTTTAATTTTAAGTTTACGAAACATTCTAATAACACGTAATAGCTAGGGTGGTATTCTGAACAGCAATGCCAATAGGACATGAATGTATAGTAGAAGGCAAAGTATAATATAGTTGTTTGTATAAGGGAAACGAAAGCTGATAATGAGTCAATCAGACTAAGTTGACCACAATCGTGCACATGTATGACTGTGTTCAAGCAATCGACGCTACAAACGTACATAAAGAGTTCTTAATTAAGAGAGAAAATGATGAGCAAAAGATTATGATGGTGGGTATTGGAAATGAGAAGGCTGTTGGGTTGGGCATGTTAATAACCATGGGCCTGTCCATATGCTGGTTGTGGTGCATACCCAACAAAAGGAGGGACTGCCTGATCAAAGCGTGACATTTGTTGAAAACCAGGAATACCCATCGCTGATTGAGGCCCAAATTTCTCATCACGCTTGTCCATTTCAATCTTATGCTGAGTCTGCAATGCAAATACCATTAATCATCTACTTACTAGTTACAACATACTAACCATGCATTAACCATTTTTGAGTAATAATAATAAATAACATTTTACCTGCATGCAGGCACACACCCTACAAGATTAAAAAAAACAAAACATATATTTAGTAACAATGATTTCCATATAAAGCGCAAAAGCAAAGATGAAAAAGAAAAAAAACAAAAACAAAAACTTACGTGCAGTAGACAAAGTCAGCTAAGCAAGACAGCAATTGAGAAGCCTGTCGAATTTCACTATTTCCCACAATTAAAGCAATAATGGAAAATATGCACGCTAGTTGTTGAAGGATAAACATGAAAGCCTAAAACATGAGAATTACAAAATCAGTTAAAAGAATATCATAAGAAATACAAGTATATTTTAATGTATGTGTGTATGAGAGAGAGAGAGGGTACAATGATGCAATTATCACATTGCGTAGTTTGAATATTAAATTCATCTTGTAACAGAAATCGAGTTGAGGCCACTGAATTTCCAAAACAACAGATAACCTGAAAAAAATGAATGAGAATACATGTAAATTGTCGTAGAAAAATGCCATGAAAATAAAAAAAATAAATTGTAAAGTGACATGCATGGAAACAAACTTAAAAAAGGAAATAAACTCATTATAAGCGAAGTTTAATTAATTAATTTATATATCATTAGCATGTTAGTTTTTTTTTTTTTTTTGACTTATATGCCGTTCTTTTGTGGAAACAGCAAGCATCCTTTCCCTTACTCCGGTTAAAAGGAGATGTTAGAACGAGTGTGCCTATCAATAAAAAGTGTTAGTATGATCAATCAAGACAGATTTCCAAATTATACTTACTAGTATTATAATATATTTTTTTATCTATCAAAATTATAATAACAATATTAAAATTCAAATTAAAAATCGTCTATATGCTATATCAACTCGCTACCAATATCACTATTATATTACAGTAGCTAATACTACAATACAAATAATTTTTAATAATATTTGGAAAATGATACTTAATTATGTATAAATATTACTAATTTATTTTAGCAATATATTATCAAATATTGTATATAGTTTATGTTGCTAAAAAATTTTAATAACATTTTTATATAATTAGACAACATTTAAAAAATGTTGTCAAAGTAGTATTTTTGTAACATTTTAATGATATTAATGTTAAGATTTCGTTAATTTTATAAAATGATAATTAATTTTAATTTAGATATCACTATCAATTATTATATATTTATATGTCTCCTAAATTCTTAGGACTTCTTTAAGGGAAGATTAAAGACATTCTTAATTATTTTTTAGGATAAGACATTCTTAATTAGTCACCACTAATTATATATAAAATATCAAATTTCATTTATTTTAAGTATAATTATGTGATTATATATACTCTTTATGAATCATTAATCTATTCGATGTGAGACTTTAATTATGGATAACAATTAGAGATAAGAGAAATATATATTTTTTTACTCTATGGGACTTTGATTTTAGAAACAATTATAGTAACAATTTTTTATTTTTTTTAAAAATGTTGCAAAATAACTTATATGAAATTTTTTTTACTCGATATGAGACTTGATTTTGAAAATAATTGAAAAGAATAATATTGAAATAAAAAATATTACTCTATCTATAATAATATTTTTTTAAAATGTTACAAAATAACCTATTTATTTAATATATAGTAACATTTTAATAAATATAAATAATAAAATATTGCTAAAGAATTAAAATTTAAGTAATGATACACTTGTTAGAGTAACAAAATCTCAAGCTAGTCTTTGACTTCGGTTGTATCCAAAGTTGTATTCTTCAGCAATTTATCAATGATAAGAGCTAATCTTATTTCCTAAAAAAAAGAAATATATTAAGATTTTTGTATGAATTATAAGTATTTTTTTTATTGATGAGAATCTTACTTGAACTGATAATGTATTTAATATGATTGAACTTAAGATTGCGAATTAAACTGGAAATAACTATGCATTAATCAATTCACGCACTCCATGATAGATATATAAATATCATCAATATGCAATTTTTAAGATAAATTTATGATATAAAAATATTTATGATGTTCATATTTTAAATTTAAATTATATATAGTATTAAGTAATTAATGTCTATTTAATTTTAAATTGTTTTATGAAATAGATAAAATTAGCGACTTAGCTTAGTAATGGATATAAATAGTAATACTACGAGCTATATATATATTTTTTTAAATTGTTAATTTATACTGAAAAATATTAACACATAATTATTATAAAAAAAATATATCAACATAATTTTAATATTAATTTTACTTCATATATAATATTTAATCCTTGTATGAAATTTTTCTTACCGATGACTTTAAATATGTATGTATATCAAGATATTAATTCCGCTATTTAAAACGATGGCAATAATATTGAGTATTGACATATTGTGATGTGTTATACCTTATATTATGCATGCTCTTTTTCTCGAGTGGTCAGAACTATATTGTCTCTATTTATATAAAATCCAGTTAACCAAGTACGTATAAGTTTTTTTTTTTGGTACAAGACTTGTTTTTGGTACAAACTCAATATAAGTTTGTTGTGTATGTCTTTTAAGTGTGTTATAACTGTATTATGTTATTTTGTAGTTTTCTTTGAGGAAGATGAAAAAATTTATTGAAAAAAATTAATAACATATAATTTTTTGTAAGAGAAGTAGCATAATTAATCTAACATTGATTGAATAAAAAAATCAATCAAATACTAAAATAATTATTACATAATTAGTCAGTTATAACCTTAAATATAAATCAATATAATTATTGCAGTCAAATATAATCAATAAACAAGTAAATTAATACATACAAAAATTATGCAATCAATTATTAAAAAATATATTTTATAAACATTTACTTGAGATAACAAAAATTTATTTAATTTAAATACATTTCAATTATTATAGTAAATTTTAATTTGAAATGAGATGTGTTATTAAGACAAACATGACCGTAACACTTATAGCTCCAAATAATGAATAAAAAAAATTAATTGATAATAGAATAACATATATAAAAGACCGAGCCAAAAGCAACCTGTTTACCCCAACACCAAGACTAATAAACTTAGCAGCACTTAATAAAGAGATAATCCACCATTAACAACATATTACCTATCATGTAATAGTGAACCAAAACCCTAAAGTTCAAAATCCAACAAGATTATCGTAAATTAAAATAGTTGGACATGTAATAAGGTAAAGGAGATTGTGGATACATTTAATGCATATTTATTATATCTTGATCGAGCATGAGAGTACTTTTTACAGAGTGACATAGTTGGACTACTTTTCAAATAGATACAGTTTTATACAGTAATTTTTATTTTCATTATTAATAAAATAAAATTTAAATATTGTTATATTTTATATGAATTTGAAAATATATGTAAATATATAAATTTTTCTAACATATTATTAAGCATAGTTATTTCATTTCGGTAATGAATAAGTAATTAAAAATAGCATATCTTAGCTATGTTTAATTAAAAATCATTAATTACACTTAACATACTACTTATTTGCGTAAAATTAAATCACCACACTTCCTTTAATTTAAGCAATTCTCTTGTTTCGAAGACTATTTAATTGATTATCAGAATAAAAAAAATTATTACAAACAAAAAACCATAATTAAAATCGTTATATTTTAATTTTTAATTTATTATCCATTCAATTTTATTTTATTTTTAAATTATTTATTTAATAATAATTTTAATTTTTAACATCAAATATAAAGATATATATTAAAAATCATAATTATTTATTTATCATAAAAATAATTTTTATAAATTTTTATATTAAAAGTTTTGTGCTCCTGTATATTTTATGTTATTATATTTTTATTATCAATAACCCTAAGATTTTAATTAATTTTTATGGAAAATAAATCAAGTTTAATATGCATTTGGAAATCCTTGTAAATATGTAATAAAAAGTTCTACTAAATATAGTTTATTCACCGACATTTCATTTGGATGAATGGAATTTGTCTCAAATTTTTTAAGTAAGATCTCGAAACAAGATGGATAGATAATTTTTATCAATAATATAATTATAAAAAAAAATTATGTGTTGATTATATTTAATTAAATAAATAAATTATACTTAATTATCTTAATTACTTAGACAAATTATGTGTTAATTAATTTAATTAAATATAGTTTTTAATTTGGGCAATTTGATGGATAGTACTTTTCTCTTATTTTGATCTTATTAACAAAATATTTAATTAAATAACTAAGTAAATTATATACTTTCCTCTCCTAAAGGATAAGAATATTAAATTATTATGACTTATTGTGTTAAAAATTATTGTCTCTTCTCTCGAGAAATTCTAGTGTATACTTTATTCATTTTGAAAATTTCTCGTTAAAATTTTGTTAATTTCTAAAAATATTATATTACCAAACTATCATTTACATTAACATTTTTTAGAGATGTGAATATTACACCAAGATTCATTCTTATGTTATAAACTTTAAATAAACACTTGTTTCCCTTAACAATTTATCTCTTGATTTACATTTAAATAAATATTTTAATTATTATTTTCACAAAATATTTTTAAATTTACCAAAATAAAAATAATATACATATAAGTATAATAAAATCATATACAACTTTTTTTTTTTTTTTTGACTTATATGCCGTTCTTTTGTGGAAACAGCAAGCATCCTTTCCCTTACTCCGGTTAAAAGGAGATGTTAGAACGAGTGTGCCTATCAATAAAAAGTGTTAGTATGATCAATCAAGACAGATTTCCAAATTATACTTACTAGTATTATAATATATTTTTTTATCTATCAAAATTATAATAACAATATTAAAATTCAAATTAAAAATCGTCTATATGCTATATCAACTCGCTACCAATATCACTATTATATTACAGTAGCTAATACTACAATACAAATAATTTTTAATAATATTTGGAAAATGATACTTAATTATGTATAAATATTACTAATTTATTTTAGCAATATATTATCAAATATTGTATATAGTTTATGTTGCTAAAAAATTTTAATAACATTTTTATATAATTAGACAACATTTAAAAAATGTTGTCAAAGTAGTATTTTTGTAACATTTTAATGATATTAATGTTAAGATTTCGTTAATTTTATAAAATGATAATTAATTTTAATTTAGATATCACTATCAATTATTATATATTTATATGTCTCCTAAATTCTTAGGACTTCTTTAAGGGAAGATTAAAGACATTCTTAATTATTTTTTAGGATAATGATATTTTCATGGTGATTTCTTTATCAAAATTGTAATATAGTTTGTAGTGGACTGACAAGCCCACTCCACATTGAGGAGAACAGCAAAAAGGCAGGGAAGCCCAAAAGAAATGGCTTAAAGACTTTGATCAATATGAATGAAATCCAAATAGCTAAGGCATATTGAGAAAATGGTTTTAAAAGGAAGCAAAACATGTAAGAAATGGTATACCTCCGCGCAAAGGCAGAATTCAGGACATTGACTTTCTCCACACCGACCACTGCAGGGCATGTAACCAGCACAACATGTGTATCTGGACCAAACAAAACCATATAATTCATTTTCCAAACTTGGGATTGGGATTAAACGAACATGCTCTCAATTCAATTACCTTGACATATCATCGTAAAGAGCTCGTTTGCGGAGCAGATATGATACACACGGTGCACTGTAATGACACAACACAAAAGTTTTCATCACTTTGGTTTATTAGTTTGTTAATTTTTTTTTGGAAACTATTCAAAATGAAGAAAATATTAATTTACCTTTCGATTCCAATACTAAAAGTAAATTATTTTAATACCTGTCTGTTACCTACTAACTTAGCCAAAATAAAGGATCAATAATTTAACATTATAATTATATATATACTGATTTTTTTTATAAAAAATTATCCGTAAAAAATTCATAATTTTAATATGTCAAACATAAGTATATAGCTTTTCTCTAAGATTAAGATGGGATAAATTATTTTCCTTGAATGTTTTCAATCTCGATTACGATTAAGTTATCCTACTAGACTAATTAAAAAAAATTGTGTAAGGTGGGTTAACATTTCTTATAATTCCTAATATTAAATATATGTTGCCCCAAAGGGCTCGAGATATAAAATTATTCCATTTTGGGGCTTAGACAATGATTTCCAAAGATTGGTTAGAACATAGAAGTCAAGCATATATAATTGGTTACCTGGATGAAAATGTAAAATATAATAAGCAACTAGATAGAATTTAAAAATAATTTGGAAATTTGATGATGAGGCAGAAAGGTGGAGATGGAAGAGTTACTTACCACCAGAGAGCAAAACAACAATCTGCACATAAATATGATTGAAGATAAAGAAAGAATGTGAGAGAGTGTAGGTAGGATGCGGTCGGAAGTTAAAATGAAGTTAGAACTTACAAGGGGTGTCAGAGTGAATGGTGTTTAAGAGATCAGTGTGCCAGAGATTGCGGTAGTTCTTGCGAACCTCCATCTTCTCCATATGCTGCTGCTGCGAAGCCATTTCCACTCTTTCAACCAATGATCGATCAAAACTAATCCTTACAACTCACAACTCAACCAATAATATGAAAATACTTATATAAACTCAGAACAAGTCAAGTACGTTTCAACGACGTTATAAACGAAGACGACTTTGAATTTTCTAGTCATCTCCACTTGGAGTTGCCATATATATTAACTTCACTCCTTATACTTGTCCTTACAGAAAACTCATTTCACTAAAATTAATAAATAACTTTGCTGGCTTATACACTCTTTTAATTTTTTACTTCCAGCTACTCTTTTAATTTTTCATAAAAAATATTATAATTTTGATTTAATTATCTTTTTAATCCTCCAAATTTGGGGTAATTATTTTTTTTATCATACATTTAAAATTTATTTTTATCCTCTAGAACTTCAAAAAAATATATTGTTTTAATTCTTGTATATTTTTTTCTCAAACTTAAAACATGTATTTTTAATCTTCAAAATATAAAAATTATTATTTTAGCATTTCAAATTTAAAATTTGTCATTTTAGTCCTTATAATTTTAAAAATATTATTTTAGTCCCTCATGATCACTGATTGACCGTAACACACTAAGACAATTTTGTAGTATTAATTGGTCTAATGTGATATTTTTACTTATAATGATTCTAGTAATAACATAATTGAATATGTTTGATTAAGACAATCTTATAGTATTAGTGATAGTATAATTGACAATGAAAAATTAAAACCGTTTTGTAATAATAATTTTCACCAACAATAATACTAATAAAAGAATTTTGTATTATAGATTAATTAATGACATTTGAGTAAAGAGACTAAAATAATATATATATATATATATATATATATATATATATATATTTATTGTACCGTCTCGGTGATAATCCGACCCGAGCCCCTACATAGGTAGGTTTGCTCGGTCAGAATCCAATCTGACCTTTCTACTTAGGTGCAACATCTCGATCAGAATCCGATCTAACCCTCCATGTGGGTGCTCAAAATCTGATCCAACTCCCTTTACGTGGGTGTGTTGTCTCGGTCAGAATTCGATATGACCGTCATACGTAGGCACTTATCCGATATCGGGGATAAAATCATATCTTTAATGACAAAATATTCCTAAATGAAAACCGTCATAAAAATCTCTGTGCTCGCGAGGCTCACGAGACCCATGAATAAGAAAGTATAAGACCTAAAATCCTAGAGCTAAGAGATTACAAATTACACTCTTAAATGCTCTGACTTTGGAGGTTGGATCTAGGAGAAGAACCCTAGACCCTCCCTTGGCCGAACATATATATATATATATATTGGAGACTAAAAACACATGTTTTAAAATTTGAAGGACCAAAATAAATTTTTTATTATACTTTAGGAACTAAAAGTACAAGTTTTAAATTCTAGGGACCAAAAAATACATACATCAAATTTGAAGGATTAAAAACATAATTAAACTTATAATTTTTAAAGGCTTAAATATAATTTTTTGTCTTTGTAATTTATTTTTTTCACTTTTAATTCTTGTAAATTTTTTGTTGTTATTTAATCTCTAATCTTTTATAGCATTTCAAAAATAGTCTTTGTCGCCATCTTCTATTAAAAAAAATCGTATGTGCCAAAAAAATGTATTTATATTTGTTATACTTCACTTCACCATTATCAAATAGATAAATTAATTTTAAATTATTTTAGACAAAATTTTAAAACATACTTTACTGTTGTCACTTCATCGTAGTTTTCATGTGCACCATCTTTGGATTGTGGAACTTTTGCATCCTGTTGTAAGTGATGGAGTTAGACTATCGACCTCCCTTCTCTAATGAGATGTCTCGTTCGTCATTGTTGCGATGGTTGCAATAGGTGTCAACGATTTTGATGGTCTTGAGTCAATCAGCATAATTCTTCTTGGCCTTAGAGAATGAGACATTGGCGATGGTGCAAACAAAGTGGTGAATGTTATTGCAATACATGAACTCTTACACAACGGGAGAGTAGTTGAGCTTGAGATCAAACTCCTCTATGATGCATGATGAGGTGGTGACCTCACAAAGGTGATGGTTGTTTAGAACGAACTCAACACTATTATTGAGATCATAAATTGTGAGAAGTTGCCCTTCATTTAGAAGATTGACATTTGAATAAAAAGGTTTAGGGTTTCTAGTATCAAATTTGGATCAAAGAGGGAAACTGTGATCATAAGAATGAAAGTGAGGGTTGGGATGTAGTGAAGTGTATTTTAAAATTTTTTTAAAAAATAATTTATCTATGTAATAATGATAAAATAGAATATGTCAAATATAATATATATTTTATTTGAAAAATAGAATTTTTTTTAATGATAGTTGAGATAAAAAAAATATTCTTAAAACATTTTTAAAAAAATTAGGATAAACAACAACAATTTTTTTTAATAAGAATCAAAAAGTGAAAAACGATAAATTATAGAAATGGAAATCATATTTAATTTTTTTCTACATTAAAAGCAATCTAGTACTAGGATCCTCTGTGAATGAGAGAATCTAGGGGAGAATCTTAAAGAATTTATAGTTATATAATTTTTTATACAATAAAGAGAGAGATAAAAAATAATGCTATATTAATTATAAATAATATAAGTCAATCATGCATGACCCAAACTTGCAAGGTCTTCGTCTTCGTTACACTACCTGTTGCCTTTTCTAATATATAATCAATAACTAATAGTAGTAATGTAGTTTATACTTTAATTACTGTGAAATTAATTTCATAGCAATTTTCTTAAAATACAAATAATGACCCGTTGATTTTAAGGCAATGAAATGTACAGTTCATTAAAAAAATCATATTTTTACAAGATTAGTTAGAAATGATTTAACAAAAACAAGTTTACAATATTATGAATTTAAAACTCTAAGTTGGGTAGTTGGGTTGGGCCCGTCCACTAAGTTTTTACGGTTAATTAAGTTTAAGGGTTCTATGAAGGTGTGCTTCAGTCGTATATCAATCATTAGAAGTGACGGCTTCTGCTATAAAAAAGCTAAAAATAATATTTACTACTTTAAAGTATAAAAAAGAAAATGAAGGGTTCAAATATTAAACAATCCTTGGGCTAATGTCAAATTTATCTTAATTTTAACAAAGATCCGAAGAGTTCATTAAACACTACAAAAAAAAAAAAAAACTTAATTAACCATGTATCTATTTGAATAATAAAATATGTCATATATAATTGCCTTAATTACTTAAAACCATTGAACTGAAGTTAGAAAAAAAAAAGAAAAATAGATTAAAAGAATATATTTAAAATAACAAATTAAGTTTTAAAATTTATCCAATTTAAAACTAATTCATAACCGAATAAATCCATGAAAAATCTTGCTAAATTGGCTGCAAATAATGGTCGCCTAAAACAAACACAAGTTTTATAATAATTGAGTCAAATCTTTCAAGCAGACAACTTTTAAATGCATTTTTATGGCTAAAAATTTAGGTTAATTGAGTCTAGAAATTAAAAAAAGAAAAAAGAAAAAAAAACATATCCAAATTCAAAGAATACGTACATATTACTCTCTTTTTTTATGAGTTATGAGTTTCTTTTATCCATTTAGTTTTTTTTATCCATATTATGGGTTATGAGTATGTTACTTATTAACTAGAACTACATTTGTTAGCAAATTTTTAAATAGATTAATTTCAATATTATATTTTATGGAAATTAAATAATATCGATTATTTTTATTTATTTATAAAACTTAATAAATCTAATTAAATTATATTAGAATAAAATACATTATATGGTTTTTGTTTTTATCAAAATTTATAATGAAATAATTATAATTCGTCGTAAAATAATAATGCATGTACTAGCAGAGTTAACAGTTACTCAACCAAGTTTTTGATATGGGTCTGAAGTGTTTCTCTAGCTTGTTATTCACCCATGACAAAAAATTAAGGTCTTTGGCTAATCTTAAGGATTGGCTCAGTCGAGCTCGTAGATTAGTTAATAAAAAGTAACGAATTAGAAGTGATTATCAAATGTTCTACTAGAAGCGTCAAGAGGGTAACCAGAATCTCACTACTTGTTCCATACTTCACAATTCATTCGGTAAAAACAAATTTGATTTAATAAAAAGTAATGAACTAAAAGTGGCTAAGAGATCATCATCCCAACTTAGTCAAACACTTGTAGATTTTGATAACAACAATATCAATATAACTTGTACAATTTAAATTCAGGTAAAGCTTACATTCTTGTAAATCAGTTTAAATATATCGATAGCATAATTATCATATTGAACTGATATAATTAATAATTTATAAAATTTATTATACAATTTTTAAATATATAATTAATCTTTCATATTAATTAAATTTTTGTTTATCTATATTGCCTTTCTACTTTTTAGCTTTATAATAAATAATTAAGGATATAATGAAGAAAAAAGAATATAATATTTGATTAAAGATTAATTTTTGTCTAAGAAAGAGTTATATAAAAATAATAGAGGGGCAATATTGGGGGTTGGGGGGAATGAGTTGTTTATATAGGGAAGTATAGGAGAAGCATGGAGTGTGTGTTTGGGTCTGGCATGGCATTAAAGAGAGAGTGATGAGAAAGTATTAAATTTGGAATTGTGTTGTGATGTTGGTGCAGGCCCGGCCTTCCATTAAATAACTCACTACACTAGTCAACTGCCTAAGTCACCAGCCAAACACAAAATGTAATTTGTTACTACTTCCATTTTAATTTTTAGTTTTCTTCACTTGAATGTTGGATTGTGTTTCAATGTCTTCTGATCTCTATACTAGTCTCGACCTTCTCTTCCTCTCAGCCTCTCCAATTCATGATGAGCTTCAAGGGAATAATTCTCTTCACCCCCTTACCCCTTCTTTCTGCTCTTTTTCTCCTCACCAAGACCACACCCTCCTTCATCCTAACACTAACACACAAGTCACAAGTGAGGAATGCCAAATGAGTGCCTACAATCACCACCCTCTTTCTCATGCTTATGAAACTGCATCAAACTTCATACATAGGAGCTTCAGCTGTAACTCTTTTGAGGGGAACACCTTCGAAGCTCACCCTCACACTTTCATGCAATGGCACTCCCCGGAAAACACTTTCTTCACTGGACAAATCAGGAGGGTCTGCAGTACAGGAGATTTGCAGGTTCAATAACTATACCCTTTCATTCTTCATGCTTATTTCACTAAATACTCCTTCTACTTGTTACAATCAAAAAATAAAATCTGAATGCTGGCCTTTTACTTTTACTTTATTTAAGTATTTGTTACGAAAAATTTATTCTCCCATTTTATATAAAATTTTAATAGAAGGAATTACTCCATTCTGGTTTATATTTTATATTACTAATAAAAGCATTAAATATTTTGATTGATTTACAAGTTATTACCTTTTTTATTATGAAATTGAAAAATGTAGTTCCCTATTACATGTAGATCGGTTGAGATCAAAATATAAATATATTGAGGAATATTCACCAATTTAATCAAGGATTACATTCTGTCAACGATTTGATTAATGAATTTCATTAATTTCGGTTGTGGAATATTTCCTTCCAAACGTATTTTCCAATTTATAATCTAAAATTTTATTGAAGAGATTTGAGAGTGAAATAAATAACTTGTTGAGATCATAATATCAAACCATTGGACATATATAATAAGTATGTTCAAGTTGTATAAAATTACATTGAAGTCATATCTACTAATAATGGATAGAAATTAAGGTGTTATTTGTATTGGATTTGATTTAATTTTTTGTTCAGAGCGCGAAAGCAACAGATGTGTGTCGAACGGAGGAAGGCAACTTGAAAGTAGGGCGTTATAGTGCCGAAGAAAGACAGCAGAAAATCTCAAAATACAGAGCCAAGAGAAGCCAGAGGAAGTTCAACAAGATTATTAAGGTAAAGAAAACAGCACTAAATATTTGCTTCTTATTTTATTTTGACTAATTGTTTAGTGCTAATAATTGGAAGACAAGAATGAGAATGATGGTATTAGTTTATAAAAGATACGACGGAATATTGCGGGAAATATATACGAATGCATGATTGACAAGAGAAAAAAAAAGGCTCTGAATGTGAGTGCTTTGTTGTTTTATGTGATACCATTACGAATCAGTATGCATGCCGAAAGACACTAGCCGACAATCGAACCCGCATACGTGGCAGATTTGCACGTAACGAGGAAATCAAAGTCTCTTCTTCAACTTCAACCATAGAAGAATGTGAAGACGAGTTCTGGGTAAATAACATTGGCTCTTCTTATATTGCACTACTATTACTATTAGAGACCACATTTACATATTCATATTTTTTATATATAGGTTGAATTCATTGAAGGATTAAATGACCAAGTGATGGGTTAGTGTAGACTGTAGAGACTCTCTGTCTCTGCCCTTTGGTTTGGCTCTTAACTCTTACGTCGTTGCCCTTTTTGTAAGCAAAGGAAACAAATACCAAAAGCCTTTTCACTTTTAACTTTTTCCTAATTTATTAATAAAGTCGCTTTGTTGTAGGAAGTCAATTGTAAGTTGGGTAGTTGGTTGGAGTTGGAGGTTGCTTCCACTTTTCTTTTTTTCCCTTCTTATTTGTAGTCTTTGATTTTGATTTCGATTTCACTTTCCTATTCTTGGTTTCCATTTGTTCAATGTATATAAACCATATGTATCATATTCAATAAGGTGATGTAATTTTATAAAATATGTAAACAATAAGGATATTGCTTTATACTATTCTTTTATATCGTATTTACTAGTCGGTTAACCTGTATCAAATTATTTTTTTTCAAAATAATTTGATTATTGAACTTATTATTTATGAAACATCATATGTTGAGACATTATATTTGAATCATATTTGAGTTTATTGTCATGTGAAAGAGGTTTATATAATTTTATCTTTATGATAGGGATTGGTGAGATTTTTTTATCTACTTTAATTATTTTTTTATTAGACTTACTAAATTTAGAATTTAATTTTAGAATACATAAATTAAGTTGCATAAAAGACTTTTTGATATCATAAATAAACTAATACTGAAAAATAAATATAACCATTACATGATGTCATGAATTTAACTTTTTTGTATACATTTGAAGTCATATCTATATCTTTATTTTTCATTTTCGCACACTTGAATTTTTAATCATTTTTTTAAGTAATTCAAGAGATTATAATATAGAGTTGACTATAAAAAAAAAATGGTTGGAAAAGAAAGATTCTACATGATTGACAGAGTAACTTGTTAATATGTTGTAGAAGAGATTATAAAAAAAAATATCTTCTTTAAAATTTGAATAAAATTTTAGAATCAAATAGAGATAATGATAATCTTTATAGACCTTTAGTCCAATACTATTTTCTAAAATGACCTTTGCTTCAAGAACATACTTTCCTTTATGTGCTCTCTTCATTTCTCCTACTTTTTCATATATTTCATTAATTAAAAGTTTTCAGGACTCAAAAACAGCTTCATGCCAAAAATAAGCATTAGAAATACCTATGTCACCGGCATAAAATTAAGAGATGTATTAAATTAATAATGATGATTAAAATTAAGAGATGACATTAAATTAAATTTTTTCATATATTTTATAAAATTAAATGCCTAGATATTTCTTTAATTTGGCACATAAGTAAACTCAAAATGACAGGACCAATCTGAGTCATGCTTTTCATGATGACTTTGAACTTGTTCTGCCAATTCCTCCTACAACGTGCAATGAATAAAATTGAACCTAAAATTTAAATAATAATTGAAAAATGAATTTTTTTTTTTGAAAAATATGTGCAAATAGTAAGTTAACATATCATTAGCATATAATTTAATAAATTACACTAAATCTTGGAGAACAATATCAAACAGTTTGATGCATTGTATTTTCTTCACAATTTCTTTAATGTTATCTTTCCCGATACCGGATTCGATAACTTCTGCAATAACAAAAAAAAAAAAAAATTAAAAAAAATATAACAATCTAAGGGTATCAGACATGAATCCAAAAATAGATTTTATTTGAAAGAAATCAATCTTGCAAATGGATCTCAATATCTTAATATAAAAAAATTTAACTTATTATTAAAAAGATATTCATTCATGAATCCAAAAATATAACATATATCTGATGTTAAAACGTGAATTATCACATAAAAAATTTGATTGTGCAACAAGTGGCTTAAGGCATCAAATTCGCAACCAGGTGCAGAGTTTGAGAGTGCCATATGCAGCATTGCAGCAAACATGGCTCCGTTGGGTGCAATTTGTTCCTAAAAAGAGGAAGTGATAAAAAGAAGCATCCACTTAAGGTAATAATTCGTTCTCTACTGAAGTGGCAAATATAGTATTGTTGCATTAAATCAAGATCACAATTTTCTTAAGTGGGATTTCTCTTTTCCAATCAGATACTAGTCAAATAAATTCCAAGGATAAAAAAGTGGACTACTTCTACTTGTAATTATCTTTACACGTTTTCATGCTTTCAAATCGTCGCCTATAATTATAATTATTATATTTCACACAACAATCTCAACAAAAAGTGGACTACTCTACTTGTAATTAGCTCCGCTTTCAAAACACACAATTTTCAACCCTCTCGATTTATAATGCCACTTAATTAATAATCTAATATATCTTGTTCAAAGTTCAAGTGCTTTAATTTTAAATATAAAACAGTCATGAACTGAGTATCATTTTTTAAGCAAAATCGGCATCTCTGATAATGGTTATTATGCGATCGATTAGAAATAACCTTAGATATTTTAAGTGAGATTTCAAATTCAAATATTATGAATTAAAAGAAATATAATTGATAAAAGAGATTTTACAAAATATAGTTAATTAAGCTTTTTTATTAGAGATTAATTATTATTGACAAAAAAAATTAATAATTACGTCGTCAAATGATATGATCATTATGTTATGAGATATTATAAAATTAAAAATTGTTTAACATTGATATTAAGATCGACATTTTTATTAAATAAAATCTTGACAAATCTATTGGTTTGTAACTATTTTTAATATCAAATTTTTGATGATATATATAATAATGATATCGTATAATGCATATACTTCTTGAATTTTAGTAATTTTTGTCGACAATAGTAAAAATAATATACCATATATTTTTAAACTCATATAAAAAAAAAATTAACAGTACCGCGTACAATCTATCTGCATATACACAGACTTCTCTAAAGATAGTTGGTAGTAATGTAATGAAAGACATCATCGTCATTCTTAATAATAATAACTATAAATGTCAGTTATTTTTAATCCTTTTTGAATTAATGTTAAAATTTGTAAAAAAACAATGTAAATATGTTTTGTTCATCGCAGCTAAAATTTAAGTAAAATTCAAAGATTGAGGTGATGTGTTTTCATTTGACCCATTTTTCTTCCCATTTATTTTAATTTTAAAACCATGAACAAAAATTGCATCCCTATGTTCTCGATCGAGGTCATAATAAAGAGTTAAAGACACTAACTAAAAAGTTGGGTGGACGATTATGCTGCGATCTTTATGCTATATGCCATATGTTCAAACAGAGATAGGCAGCAATGCTCACAATTACAAAGACACGATATTACGTGAATAATGGAAGGAAGTTCCACTTTATAATAAATAAATAAAAAAACAGACAAAAATCTTGAAGATATATTAACAGACGACTAGATACCAGGACAGGACTGCTTTTACAGATTCTCTTTTAAAATATTACAAAGAGATGCTTCTCATCGTCAAGCTTACATGTTTCTTCTTTTCAAATACTATCCATTTTCATAGCTAGCCCTCCTCAGGTTTTCCATCTTTTTTATTTCAATTAAATAAAACTAATAATTAGTTAAATAAACTCAAATTTAATTAACTGAAATAATATATCCTTAAGAATAAATACTCGGTCCTTAAAGTGAAGATTCCATAAGAAAATCATGATGTGTCTTGCAAGCATGTCTTTCAAGAAGTCAATTAGGTTAGTTGATTTTTGTTTTTTCTTTCCGAGACTTTTAGTCTCCTTGTAAAAAAAATATAATAAAAAAAAAGAAGAAGAAAAAAGAAATGGACATACTAGAAATTAAACCTTATCAATATATAAAACTTATGAGGTCAACCTAAAATAATGTGAAACACTATGTAGTTAATATGAGTAAAATGAGACACAATTTCTTTAAGCAAAGTTATAATTGAAGTATAGTAAATGATTAAAAAAATGAGAATTCACGCATTAAAACAGTTCACTTTTAATTATGAAAAAAAAAAAAAAAGATATTTTATACTATTAAGGTAGTTAAAATATATATGAACAGCCAGTTTTGAGCATGAGAGCCCAGTAATGAATGACGAAAACTAGTTGAAGACCCTGCGATTGCAGTCTGATTTGTCTTTAAGCTTTGCCTCTGGCTCATTCCAAAGACAGCAACGGATAGAATTTTATGGAGGAAAAGAGAGAATGAATGCTTAGGAAAGTTGTCCACTGGAGCTGTCTAGTCCAACAAAAAAGCCTTTTGATTCGTATTTACTATTTACTCCATAAGAATATTTGATTAATTAACGATAATCAAAGTCTTTTATGTTTTGCACAATGCACACGCTCTGAGCTCTTTAGTGGACCGGCCTCCAGCCATATAAAAATAAAATATGTGACCGGCAGACAAAAAAAGAGCTCGTCTACTATTCACCATACAACTTTCCTCGATCTTTACCAACACTGCAAAATAAATAAATAAAACTCTGTAAAAACTGATTTTTAAAGAAAGATTCTCTCGCACTTATAATTACAACTTTTATCATCTTACAAGTTTATGTGCGATATCCAATGAAGCACCAACTAGCATTTCTTTAATTAATATCACATATATTTTATTTGAGCCACCTATCAAGTGGCCCCTATAGCTCAGTGGTAGAGCGTCAGTCTTGTAAACTGAAGGTCCGTAGTTCGATCCTGCGTGGGGGCAAGTGCTAGTAACAATTTCATTCCGCTCTATTTTTAGCAAATGCAGCCATATATTTTTAAAGAAATATTACAAATTTAATATTATTAAAAAATGATGAATTGGTAATTATTCACTCCAGTCAGTAAAAAAAACTGTCTAAATAAAAATATTCACTTAATTTGAAAAATTCTAATGTCTTTATGGAGTAAGAAATTCTTATTCCATATCATATCTTGAATTATTTTTTCTTCTTCTTTCACCCTCAAAATCAAGAGTTATATATAGACAGGATTAGTTTATTATTTTAATAATAACTTTAAAAGAATTATTCTTTATTTCTTTCAATCTAACCATTAAAAAAAATTGAGGATTAAGACTGAAGCCTTACTTGATGGCCTCATTGCTACTATTATTTAGGCAGTAAATGATTGCTACTACTGAACAAAATTTCCCATTAATTGCGGTTGAAAATTTATTGCTACTACTCTTTTGTCCAGCTAATGACCTACGAACATTTTCGCAACATGAATACCCTATCAAATATTACCGTTGTTGATGTTCAAAATAAATTGATTAACGCCTGTGAGTAAATAGTCATGTGACAAAGTTCAACTATATTTTTGTTGGACTCTTTAATAATATTATTAACTTCTAAAACTACGTCTGCATTTGCTAATTGGTCCTTTAATGTTTGTTAAAAAAAATTGGGTTTGCAAATTCATCCCCAGGTTTCTTTAATTATTCATAATTTGATCACAAAGGTCTTTCTGTCTGAAAGTGGTGTAAATAAATTTTTCGATGTATCTTTGCATTTTCATTAAAATGAAATTTCCATAAACAAACTGAAATTAAGCAAAACCAGACTTGGAATTGGAGAAAAATAATAAGAAGAAATATTTAATGAATACTAATAGTTGGTACTCTTTTCCTTCGAGTCTCGTATATATATATATATAAACAAATAATTTATGTTAATTAAAAAATTTATTTAAAAATATTTAATTATACTAATTTATTAAAAAAATACTTTTTCCCCTAAAAAAATATTTTTTTAACTATTTCTTCATTAAAATTTGATATATATATATATATATATAAGT